AGATTGCCCAGTCTTCCTCCTGAGGAGTGGCTGGTGGGTTTGAACCTCCAGCCCTCTGGTTAGCAGTCAAATGCCTTAGGCACTACACCACCAGAGCTACAGCCTTGGAAACCCAATGGGGGCCACTATGAGTCAGAATCGACTCAATGACAGTAAGTTTGGTTTCTTGGTTTTAATTCCTTTTTATTGCCAAATAATATTCTTTTGTATGAATATACCACATTTTGTTTACCTGTTCATCAGTTGATGAACATTTGGGTTGTTACCACCTTTTACCTATTATGATTAATACTGGAAAGAACAATCATGTTTAAGTTTCCATGTGGCTATATGTTTTCAGTTCTCTTGCATATACGCCTGTGAATAGAATTGCTAGGTCAAATGGTAAATGTATGTTTAACTTTTTGCGGAGCTGTTCTCCAAAAAAGGTGAGTTTTCTTAATTCTCCTGATGACAGCTCATGAGAAGAGAAAGAGTAGTTCAGAACTCACTTTGGGTTTTAAAAATCAATATTTAATTTATTAAAGTTCATATTTTAATTTAGAAAATTTAAAAACATAATTATTTTTTAACTTTTAAACCCAGCTTGCCAGTTATATTATTCTATTCATAAATCTAACAAATATTAACAAAAACTCTTAGGGGAGCTTTGATTAATAATTGATCTTATTTTCAAAACTAAAACCACTTTAAGTAGTTTATACTGCATTTATTCATTCGGTATATTCAATTTCCTTTTTAAATACAACTGACTGACAAATCAGCCTTCCAAGTATTTTTATTGCAATCTCATAAAAGTAAATATATAAACATGGTATATTTTCAGTATTTTTAATGTTCTGGCTCTACTTACAATTATTTGTAAGTAAGAATTTAAGTTAAGGTTACAAGTCTAAATTATTAAACTGCCCAATTTAAAAGAGAATCAGACGATTTATCTTTTAAGCCTTCTAATATGCCAAATTATTTTAAATATTTCAAGAACTTGAAATACCAAATATGCTCAATGTAACACAAAAGATATTAGTATGATTACTTTTATGCTCTTACATATTTCTATGCATATTTCTAACTCTTCCTTAAGGTGAAAGATGACTCCCAACAGAAGCCATTTGAGGATGACTTTTCCCAGTGATAACGATGTATAACATTCCCCGGAGGAAAATGTAACAGAAGTAAAACGTGTAACTTTTAAAGATAGACAACAGGTAGTCAGGAGACTTACTGAGGCCAGAAAGGGATCATAAAACATTAACCTCAGGCTACTAGTCTGTAGCATAGTGGCTAAGACACTTGCCTGCTAACCAGACGGCTGGCGGTTCAAACCCACCAGCCACTCCTCGGAAGGAAGGTTGGGCAATCCTACTTCCGTAGTGATAATAAAATGTATGTAGAGTGGCGGTTCAAACCCACCAGCCACTCCTCGGAAGGAAGGTTGGGCAATCTACTTCTGCGGAAACCCAAGGAGGGGCACTATGAGTCGGGACCACTCTATGACAGTTTTTTTTTTTTTTTTTGAGGTGAAAGGGACAGTTTTTTTTTTTTTTTTTGAGGTGAAAGGGACAGTTTTTTTTTTTTTTTTTGAGGTGAAAGGGAACATTAGCATACTCGAAATCACTCCCCTTGGTAGATATTTAACATTATAATGAGATATGCTAATATCCACTGTCTTTGTATTCTTTACTGCGCATGCGTAACCTGAAAATAGACATGATTCTGCCTAATCCCTCCCTAATAAAAAGAAGCTTTGAAAGCACCTGGAGAGAGAATCTGAGGAAAGCCCTGTCTCTGCCTCAGCTCATGCACCATCTCAATAAAGCCAAGCCTTCCACTTTTCACCTCCTGTGTCTTTACTGGCTTTAGTCATGCAGGGTGAACCCAGCGTTTGACAGGTAACAGTACCAGAGTGGGCACTTTCCTGGGTGACTGACAGTGAATGCCAAGATTTTCCTTCTAATCCCAACTATGAGGCAATGCTTTTATTTATTTATTTATTTTAATTTGTATTGTGATCTGGGTGAAAGTTTACAGAGCAAATTCACTTTCAATACAGCTCACATACACTTTATCTCATGACATTGACTGCGATTTCCCACAAGCTCCCTTCCCACTTCCTCCCCATAGTTGCCTCTTCCCTGTGTTCTTTCTTCCCTCCCATGCACTCCTGTCCCTGAGCGGTCTCCCTGTGCATATACATCCCTTCTATTATCCCATGATGGATCTCTCCAAGGAGTATAACTACCTAATATAAATATTCACCTCATATGCCTGTCTTTTGTTTGGCTGGAAGCCACAGGAGTGGGTTCAATTCCAGATCTGAAGGGCATCTAGGGGCCATAGTCTCAGGGGTTCCACCAGGTTCTATCAGATCTGCAAACTTGGTCTTTTTTTTTTTTTTAATGATTTTGAGTTTTGTTTCACATTGTTCTCCTACTCTATCCAGGATCTCCTATGCAGACCCCCCTCTGAGGGGCACCATCTAGTTCTTCTGGTCTCATAGTTGTATAGGCTGAGGATCACATGGTGTACCAGTCCCTTGGACTAATTGTTTCCATGCATCTTTGTTTTTCTCCGTTCTTCTTTCCTTTGGATGGGGAGAGACCCATCGTTGCATCTAGATGGCCATTTGCAGGCTTTTAAGACCCCAGTCGCTACTCACCAAAGCAGGATGTGGAACAATGTTTCTGTGTAGTATGTTATGCCAATTGAACTTGATATGCCTTGCGACTGTGGTCCTAAGCCCACAGGTCCAACTACTGGCTCCTTCTGGGCAGCTGGTTGTGGCCAAGAAATGACTACAACCTTGTCCCTTGTCAGCCCTACTATATACCTGGGGATTCTTACAGATCATACAAATACACTTGTAGAATCATTATCTGCCAACCCTATACATGGTCTTGGGCACGCTCTCCCCTCCACAGACTTACCTAATAGTTCAGATTGTCCATCTATCTATCCACCCATATATCAGTGTTTGCCTTCCCTGACAACATAGTACCGTATGCACAGAGGGGTTCATCTTTGTTATCTGTACTCCCATTGAACCACTTTTTATAGCCATCATGACAACATCACTGCTTACAAGTGGGGAAGCAGATAGGTCACTGCCTAGGATTTGAATCACGTCATTATTCAATTTTCAAATCTACATATGTAATCTCTACTCAGGTTGTTGTACCACTTGTTTGGATTCAATCTTTCAGTCTACTGCTTCATTCTTTGAATTCTTGCTGACTCTGGAGGCAGCCTGTCTTGAGTTGAATCTTAGTCCTGCCGATTATTAGCTTTATGACCTTGGGAAAACATTTAACCTCTTTAGGCCTTTCTTATTTTCTTATCCATAAAGTGAAGGTAACAGAAGTACCTACTCACAGGGTTGTTCTGAAGATTGAGATAATGCACAAGAAGCCCCGAAGCACCAGAGTACACATGATTTAAGAGTTTGCTCTGATGGTTATCATTATCATCATTATTGTTATCTGTTAGGACTACAATTTGTAGAGATTTGCATATGGTACCAAATTGAATTCTGTGCAATTGACTGTGTCAACTTCTAAGGTTATTTTAAGGACCTAGTTCATCTTAAGAATGTCAAATCAAGGGGCAAGGTTGTGGTCATTACTTGGTCACAGCCAGCTACCCAGAGGGACTGAGTAGTTGATCCTGAGGGCTTGGGACCATAGTCGCAGGGGACATCAAGCTCAATTGGCATAACATACTATACAAAACATTGTTCCACCTCCTACTTTGGCGAGTAGCGACTGGGACCTTAAAAGTTAGGAAGCTGCCATCTAGATGCAACAACAGGTCTCTCCTCGTCAAGAAGAAAGAAGAATACCAAAATTAATGGAAACAATCAGTCCTAGCGACTGGTACACCATCCGATCTGCAACCTATACAACTATGAGACCAGAAGAACTAGATGGTGCCCAGCTACCACTGCCATCCACTTGGAAGGGATGTAGGAGATCCTACATAAAGAGGGAGAACAATGTGGTACAAAACTCAAAATCGTTTGGAGGCAAAAAAAAAAAAAGAAAGAAAAGAAGGTGGGGACCAGGTTTGCTGGTCCAATGGAGCCTGGTGTAACCACTGAGACTATGGCCCCTAGTTGCCCTTCAGGTCTGGAATTGAACCCACAACTGTGGTTTCCAGCCAAACAAAGTACAGACATGTGAGTTAAACATTTACCTCAAGTAGACACATGCCCTAGAGAGAACAATCATGGGAGAAGGAAGGGCTGCTTATGCACAGGGAGATAGCTCAGGGTGCAGAAGAGTATGAAGGGATGGACACTGGGAGGAGGTAACTATGGGGAGGAAGTGGGAGGGGAGCTGCTGCATTGTAAATTTTGGTCAATGACATGAGACAAAGTATATGTGAACTGCTGTATGAAAAGTGAATTTACTCTGTAAATCTTCACCCAAATCCTAATGAAAAAGAAAAAAGAATGTCAAATGCTCCCTCTGCTGGACAATACCTCAGATTGGGCTAAGTCCCAGAACTGGCAGATTCCTCCATTCCTGTGGACAATTTCCTCCTAGGTCTGGGTGTTTAGTGAAGTGGGTTGATAGCTCTTTAAGAGGCGGTAGCTAGCTCCCAGTTGCTATGGAGACAAGTAGACACTCACTGGGTAGCAGCGGGCAGCCATGTCCTCCAAACTTCATTGCACAGGTGGGAAGAGCTGCTGGGGCTGTGAAGGGGAGGGGGCCTTTTCTTCTTCCCAATCCATTGAGGCGAGAGTTTGAAGGATTCTGCTTTTGAGACAGAGGCCAGTACTGGGGTGCCCCTGACCTCCCCAGGTTCCACCATCTTGGCCTCACCTCTCTTTCCTTCATAGGCCTCAGCGCTGAGGACCACCAGCCCTCACCCCAAAAGGAGAGTGTGCCACCCCTAAAGGCCAATGCTGAAGCCATTGACTTCCTCAAATCTCTCCGTGAGCCCTGGCAGTGGGGAGGAGGGGGGAGAAGGGACAAAAGTCTGGGCAAGTCAGCCCCAGATCTGATAGCTCTGTCCTTGGCTCTAGTCTCTCCCAACCTTGATTCTTCTGGGATTCAACAGAATAGATGTGAGGCCTACTTGTTGGCATTCTTCAAGGAACGCCCAGGGCTAAAAGGGAGGGGGCTTTCACCTGCTCACTGCTGTAGAGGTCAAGGGAAGGGGGAACCAGGGTCACAGAGAAGACAAGGGGGATGAGGAGGGCTGTTGTCGTTGTTCTTGTTATGTGCCGTCGAGTCGGACCCAACTCATAGCGACCCCTCCTTGGGTTTCCGAGGCAGTATCACTACGGAAGTAGATTGCCCCATCTTCCTTCCGAGGAGTGGCCAGTGGGTTTGAACCACCAGCCTTCTGGTTAGCAGTCAAGTGCCTTAAGCACTACGCTACCAGAGCATGGGTAGAGAAATATGGTCAGGGGTCAGGAGGTCGAAGCCTAGGAGCCAGAGCTTTATCTGTCTCATGGACCCTCACCCCAGAACCTAAGGAGCTGCAGCAACTGTTCTTCTCCGAGACTCTGGCCATGGTCTCAGACACAGGGGAGCCCCTGGGAGAGCTGACCATTGACGTGCAGAAAGGGGAATACAGAGATGAACTTGGGGTCATCTCATACTGCCTCCTCGTGCATGCCTTCAGCCGTGGCCTCTTGGACAAGCTGCTCTGTGGAAACTCCATCCTAGGTAGAGAGCTCCTACTGCCTGACATGTCACCCCATCCTTCCTCCACTTCCCCCCCCCTCACCCCAGGACCCTTATTCAGAACTCACCTTTGACTTCACCTTGGGATCAGAATGTCGACAGGAGAGGGTGTGGGGTGGAAGGAGGGTAATCACAGCCTCAGACTTAATTCAAGAGCAGTGATCACCTACCCATACTTCTGTGTCCACATGTTGCCTGAGTAGCCCAGCCTGGACCACCACCACCCCTTCTTGCAGTCTCCAACCCATGTTGTAACATCAGTACTCACCTCCCTCTACCTCTAGGCTATCTCTCAGGGAAAATGGAAATCATGGAACAACATGGTCATGAGTTCATCAAGGTACTTTCTAGAATCCTCAACCTTGACTTCAACCCACAATGGATGAAGAGAAGCCCTAGGAAGGAAGGAGAAAGGAAGGGTGGGCCTTAGTAGAATGTCACCCAGTTATCCTGCAACCCCTACCACACAAAACCTGATAAGCAATCTACCCAGGCTACTAGAGGTCAGTAGTGATGACATTCTCCAATATACAAAACCTGAACTCAGCCCACCCAGTCTTCCTCCAGCCCCAAAGCTCAGTCTTTGCCAGGGACCACTAACCCTGAGACTCGGGCCCTGCCTTTCCCAAGGGCATGCCTCCTGAACACCTCGCCTCCAAATTCTCCAGCTCTGTGCCCCTCACACCTTCCCAGCCATTTTACAATGTGCCCCCTTCATAAATTGGAAACCAGTAAGATCATTCATACAAATACCATTCCCATCTGTTAAAACTCAGATTCTGAAGTGTATTTGGTTTTCATGTTACACCACAATATGACTTCTACTCTTGAGCTCTACTATGTATTGAAGGTTTTCATCAAAATTTACCTTGGTTTTCTCATCTGTAAAGTAGAAGGGACAAGATGATCTCTGGGGGGTCCCATTTACACAAAATCCAGGAAGTCCCTGATTCTCCCCTCCCACACTCCGGCCTTTAGTTCCCTGTTCTCCCGATGGACCGGAAGACCAGTTTAGTGAGACAGGAAGATCAGCTGGCCGTGACCAGGACTGTCAAGGAGGGTGAGGTAAGGACGAGAGCCCGGTGGGAACAGCCTCCACCACCTCTTTGGAATCATGAGCAGGGGGCCTGATTGGGTCAGGCCAGGAGCCTGGATGAGGACTGAGCCAGGACCATATGCCCAACTCCTGGCTTACTCTCTCTTTTGGCACCGTCTCAGCTCAAGGTCCCTGACCCAGATTTGTCCTGAACAGGAAGTGAAGACTGAAGTGACTTTTTTCCCCTGGAACTCAATTGCTGGCTTCATCTCTGAGGCTGCCAACCTGGTGATGCTGAGAGTGATGGCCTGGCGGCGGAAGGTGCCCAGTAATGCCCGCTTCCTGGCCCTGGACACGGAAGGGAGACTCTGCTATTCTACCTATGTGAGGGCACCCCTTGGGGAGGAGGCTGGGCCTGAGGGCAAAGGAGAAAGGGCACAGAGGGGACTGGAATGGAAGAAAGACAGCTGAATCCTGGGAGAGAGTGGAAGAGGTGGTGGGGCTGGAGATAAACGGGAGGATGGGAGTGGAGGTTGAGGGCAGGAGAAAGCAAGAATTGACTTTGTTAGATTAAACATGAGGCAGGTGGGGTGAGTGAGAGGGACCAAAAGATGTGAGCAGTTGAGGGAAGCAACTCTTTCTGCACACAAGTTAGTCTAGGAAAAATAACAGAGTGGAGGAGTGCTTTTAAGAAGTATGTATGTTTTAAATCAGAAAATGCAGTATCTCTGACTGTACTTAAACATCATTATTTCTGAACCCTGAAGGGATTCTCTTTTTTATTTTGGCTATAATTCATAATCAACATGCCTAGAACTTTCTGCGACACGTGATTATGAAGCTGTGCCTTTGCACACACTCTGTGTTGAGTGAGCCACTTTGAGGGCTCAGTTGTCTTTCTTCACCAACCTTGTAAATTACATTCTCGTCTTTACACAGGCTCTTCTATCATGAACACAGCAAACATCAATGCCTTCAGCATAGACAAGCACATACAATTTCCCCCCATTTTCTCTGAAACACGTTTTATGTTAGTCCTTTTATCTCCAAGGCCTCACTGCCTGCTGCCACCCACCTCACTGGCCCCAATAGCCCAGCACCCACACACACACTCCCATGCTTAACTGGTTGGTCTTCTTCCCTGTAACCAAAGCACTTGGTGAGAGAGATGGCAAGGGGAGGGGCTGGGGCAAGGCAGGCTGGAGTTGGCTTTATGAGGGGACCCCCAAGTTAGATTGTGTGTACAACTCAAATCTTGTGGCACCTGGGGGTCTGGACAGCCAAGGGTTGTTCATCACTAGTGAGCAATGAATGAAGATGCAAGATGGTGAAAACAGTCAGGTGACATTTTGAAGGAGACCTTAGTGGACATCCACCTCACGCCATACTCCATTTTGGCTGCTGCCAGCAAGCCCTGGGCTTCCAGATGTTCCAAGCGGGCCATCAGCAGGTGGAAGTGTTCATTGTGGAGCAAACGGTACACTCGGAAGAGGGCATTCCCATGTCCTGCCAGTTCTACCTGTTCTCTGATGGGTAAGCCACTGTGTGGGGCCAAGCGGGTGGTGTGGAGCACAGACTTGGGTGTCAATGATGGGGGTGGGGATGAGCAAATGGAAGACTAGTTGTTTCCAAGGATACCACCAGGAAGAGGGGCAGTTGAGAGCTGAGTGCCTCCTGCTTTATCCACATCCTTCACCCATTCTTCAACTCCTCCTCCATTCTCATTCTCACCAACCAAACGAAACCACTGCCATCAAGTTGATTCCGACTCATAGCAACTCCCAGTGGTCTTCCAAGGCAGGTAAACCTTTACGGAAGTAGATCGTCCCATCTTCAGAGTGGCTGGTGTATTTGAACCACCAACCTTCTGGTTAGCAGTCAAATGCCTTAGGGACTGCACCACCAGAGTTCTTTCCTCATCTTCACAGTGCGTCTCAAACAACCTCACCAAAGAACCCCAAATGGCTGAGAAGCAAACACCAACCTCCATGGGATCTAAAGCAGCTGCCATGGGGGATGGATTTAATATTGAGCAACACCAAGTTCTGAAGGAACTTGATTGGATCAATGTGTTGGGAGAACCGCCCTGGCACATGGCCAAGCTGTCACCAACATAGCAGGGGCACCAAATCATGAGAAAATACAGATGGGGCAGCAGAATTTACTTCCTGACATTTCAAAAGAACTATTGACACAACCAGTCCACTGGAAAAGAATCATGAGAATACTATTGGCTTTGATTATTTCATAATTTAGTAAATTGTTTCCATTTCACACATCAGGAGGTTCCTGAGTTTTTGGATTTCAGTCCAGCCCTGGCATTCTGGCCACAAGCCTAGGGGTATGAACAGTAGCCAGTTTGAGAAGTAGGGGCCTAATGCTTATGGAGCCCTGTGCCATTATTAGGGGGATGCAGAAATTAACAAGACCCAGGTACTGTAAGACAAGTCAGGGAGGCAGAAGTAAAAGGAGGCTTCCAGGACAGGACTCTGAAGGGGGGAGGTCTGGGAAGGCTCCCACTCCCACACCTCTTTCCTTGTTGCATTCCAGGCACCTGGCCAAAAGAGTCCAGGTGGGCTCCCCTGGCTGCTGCATCATCACCAAGATGCCCATCTTGAGGGAGGAGGGTGAGTGAAGCTCAGCTGTGGGAAAGCGAAGGGAAGGTGGGGAAAACCTGGCACCTTTGGGGGATGCAGGGAGCTCGAGTGGTGCAGAGTGCAAGGCATTTGACTGCTAACTGGAAGGCTGGCGGTTCAAACCCACCAGCAACTCCGTGGAAGAAGAGCAGGCAATCGACTTCCATAAAGATTTACCGACTCAGAAACCCAATGCCGGTTGCTATGAGTTGGAATCGACTGGATGGCAGTGAGTTTGCTCTTTTGGTTTTCCCGGGGGTGCAGAGGCCCCCTCACACAGCCTGCAGAAAGTCTGGACTGAGTGCGCTAGGGGGATGACCCCGTCTGAGATCACCAGGAGAGACTCTGCCTTCTGGCTCCCACCCCAAGGCAGTTAGGGAGAATCCTTCTTGCCCCATGTGGGCGAAGTCCTGGTGTCTCACCTGAGCCTGCTCTCTGGGTGGTGCTAGGAAGGTTCTTGGAGTCCCTGGATGCTAACCAAAAGGTTGGAGGTTTGAGTCTACTCAGAGGGGCCTTGGAAGAGAGTCCTGGACACCTCCTTCCACATAATGAACCACTGAAATCCTATGGCGCACACACCCACAGAACCAAACTCACTGCCACTACCGTCCAGAAGCAGCAAATCTTCACGAAAGTAGATTGCCAGTTGCCCAGTCTTCCTGCCGCAGAGTGGCTGGCGGGTTTGAACCAACCACCTTCTGGTTAGCAGTCAAATGCCTTAAGCACTAGGCCACCAGAGCTCCTTGGAGCCCCTACGGAGCACAGTTCCATCTCTCACACACATGGGGTCACCATGTGTGTTTAGGAAAGCTCTGGGATGGGGGCACGTCCACGCAGCCTTCCTCCCTCCCTTCTCAGATGAGATTGAGCCCCCTCCTGAGTTTCAGAAGAAGCCCCTGGCCTGGGAGGAGGACATGGAGTTGTACTCCAAGTTCCTGGACCGAAAGGTGAGGAGAGGTTGCAGCCACCTTGGGGCCCCCAGTCCTCAGTTGGCCATAAACTCCACATACCGATCTCCCTTTAAAGGAGCTCTGGTGGCTTAGTGGGTAAGGCATTTGACTGCTAATCAGAAGGTCGGCCCTTCAAACCTACCAGCCTCTCTGCATGAGGAAGATGAGGCAAACTACTTCCGTAAAGATTTACAGTCTTGGAAACGCTACGGGGGTCCCTATGAGTCGGAATCCACTCGATGGCAGCGGGTGGGGTCTCCCTTTGTGTCTGATTTGCTGCACACCCCTGGGCCTGGGAGGCTCTGGCGCCACTTAGCTCCCCCCGGAGAGAGCGGGCCTCCTGCGGCCGGAGGGGAATTTCCCTGGTCCCACGCAGGCCTGGCTGCCCCGTCCCCCGCCAGGAGGAGCTCCGACTCAGCCACAGCACCTACATGCGACAGCATCCCGAGGCCCACGCGCTCATCTCGGACTTCCTGCTCTTCCTGCTGTTGCGCCAGCCTGCGGACGTGGTGACCTTCGCCGCCGAGCACTTCGGTCCCTTCGCGCACAGCCGCCCGCCGACCCCGGCCCTCCGCTCCTCCAACCGGCCCAGCCCTTTCCGTTCGCCGGCCCCGAAGCAGCCCTCCAGCAGTGGCTCCCAGCCCTCCTCGGGAAAGGACTAGGCGGCCCGTGGGCCTGAGAGTGCGCCTGGCCAGGCCCCGCGGGCCGGGACTGGGCAGGAAGCCCAGGCGTTGGGGCCGGGCCGGGCGGAGACAGGGTGCGCCAGGGAAGGGCGCGCTTTCCGGGCAGCAGTGGTGGTGGGAATAAATGGTGCAGTCCATCAGGTGGCCTGTGCGCGGCGCAGTCTTCCCTGGCAAGCGTCTTATATCCGGCTAAAAATACGAGCTGCTGCCAGCGTTTATGGAGTTAATTTCAGTCTTTCTAAGAAAGACAATTATCGCCATTATCCCCATTTACAAATAAGAAAATAGAGACACAGAAAGGTTAAGTAACCCATCGAGTTAGCTTGTTGAGAAGCAGGATTCGAGCCCAGACTCTTAGCTGTTAGTTTAGTGAGGATGGAGGGGCTATGCTCCTTGGCACTTAGAATCTTAATGGAGAACATCAAGCTTAATTGCCCTCCCCACCCTACTCCTAAACCAAAGGAACACAGAGTAGAGGGAATGGGGCCTGGAGCCCGTGTACCTTGCTTGTCACCTGAGAAACCTCCCCAAACGCCGACCATCACCTCTCCTGCTGCACCTCTTACCCACTGACGCAAAGGAGCTCCCAACTGGGCGGGGACTCCAGGTCTCCTCGCAGCTCCCACTGACACGCAGTAACCCAGAAACCGTGCGGGAATTCTGTCTTCTCTCGTTTCCACTGCCAGGAGCCCCAAACTCTGCAGCATCCGCAGGTCTCCTCTGTGTTTCCACTGATAGAAACTGTGCGAGGACCCTTGCCCTCCTCCCGGTTCCCAAGGGTACAGTGGAACCCCCAAAGTGCCCAAGGACCCAGTTAGCCAGTTCCTCCCTGAGAAAATGCATGGACAGGTGATGTCACCTCCCTTGAACTTTGATGTCAGTTGTGGCCAGGGCTTGTTTCTGCCTGCAGGCTGAGGCTCCTAGCTTTGTAAATATTAATCACTGTGCCCTTCAGACAGCTGGTAATGGGGATGCCAGCCCCATCCCTCCACCATTTATCCACCAGATGCATTGATTTAGCACCTGCTGCTGCAGGATGACTTGTGAGTTGGAATCGATTCCAGGCACACTACAACCGCGAGACGACCCACCTCTCATCAGTTTGTCCTACTGTGAAGGCTTCCTTGTTACCATGATGCTGAAAGCTATGCCGCAGGTATTTCAACTACCAGCAGTCACCCATGGTGGACAGGTTTCAGTGGGGCTTCCAGACCAAGACAAACTGGGAAAAAAAAGGCCTAATGTCCACTTCCAAACGGACAAAAACCCTGTGGATCACAACAGAACATTGTTCCATTCGTTCTGTTATACGTGGGATCACCATGAGTCAGACTGACTGGCGGGCAACTAACAAGTGGCATGCGAGATGAGAGACTGCAGGAGCTCTGCGTTCTAGGGGACCATTGGAGCCAATTTCTACAAGGCTGGAGGGAGAGGGTTGTGAGGGATCAGAGAAAGGGGCATGGAGGATTATCATATGAGTTGAGCCTTGGAGATTTTTTTTTTAACCTTTTATTGTCTCTTTCTCTTAACAAGAAATATATGTTTATTAAAGAACCCTTTAAAAGGGAAGATAAACCAAGAGAAAATAAATGGAACCACTTCAATCCCTTTATCTAGAGGCAGCCACTCTCAATATTTGTACACATATCCCCTCTGGTCTTTTTTCTATGCACAGACGCTCTGGTGTTTGTTGGACATTGGCTTTCTCAAGCACTTTTATAGCTTGTTTGGTCTGGTCTTCATAGTTCCAAGAGGAGGGACTTTATTGTTTTTTAACAAGAAATGAGATTATATGGTAGTAATACATGTCCATTAGTTAATTGCATATTTATTTATATTCTTGTAAAAATTTCCAACATAACAAATAAAGCTGAAGTCTCCGTAGGTTCCCACGCTACTCGCATAGAGAGAAGCTGTAGCTTCTCTCATGTATTGTAACCAGCAGTTTCATTTAACAATACGTTTTGAAAATCTTTTCATGATACAACACAGTCTTCTATTTTTGATGTCTGTACTAGTATTTGACCACTTTCCCTCCCTGTCCCCACCCCATTTTCAGCTACTCTAAACAGTGCAGCATTGAACATTCTTATAGTTAAATATTTGCATATATCAATAATTATTTCCTTAAGAATACATTCTGAGAAGTGGAAGTGTTCGATCAACTTTAAGGCTGTTGTTTGTTTGTTAACTTACTGGCAAATTCTAGATGGGCAGGATTTTGACTGTTGTTGTTGTTGTAATGTGCTGTCATCAGACCTGACTGATAGCGACCCCTCCTTGGGTTTCCGAGGCAGTATCACCACAGAAGTAGATTGCCCAACCTTCCTTCCGAGGAGTGGCTGGTGGGTTTGAACTGCCAGCCTTCTGGTTAGCAGTCAAGTGCCTTAGGCAGGATTTTGATTAAGAGTCTGATAAAGCATTCCAGGTAGAGAAAATGACGTGAGCAAAGGGTAGAGCAGTAACAAAGTGTGATAACGTGTGTTCATGATCTGAAGCAACATGGTTTAATAGAACATCCTGCAATGATGGACATGTTCTAAATCTGCCATGTCCAACATGATTGCCTCTAGTGAGAGGTACCCAAGGAGCACTGGAAATGTGGCTAGTTTGACTGATGAAATGAATTTTATGTATTTATAACTTTTTGTGGTGATTTGGGTGAAAGTTTACAGAGTAAATTCGTTCTCCATTCCACAATTCATACCCATTTTGTTTCATGACATTAATTGCAATCCCCACAATGTAACAACTCTTTTCCCAGTTCTTTCCAATGGTTACACTTTCCCTGTGGTGTAGTGGTTAAGGCATTTGGCGGTTAACCAAAAGGGCAGTGGTTCAAATCCACTAGCTGCTCCATGGAAGATAGATGAGGCCGTCTGCTTCTTTAAAGATGTACAGCCTTTACAGCCTTGGAAACCCAATGGGAGTTGCTGTGAATCTGAACTGACTTGATGGCAGTGAGTTTTGTTTTGTTGGTTTCCTTCCTATGCATTCCTACCCTCTGAGCTTTCTCCCTGCTCAAATGCTGTCCTTCTGATCTTCTGTTGTTGACCTAAGGAGTGTACCTCCCTGGTGTTCACCTCATAGGCTTGTCTATTGTTTGGCTGAAAATTAAGCCATGGGAGTGAGTTCAGTTCCAGGCCTGAAGGGTGACTAGGGATCATAGTCTCAGGGGTTTCACCAATCTCTATCAGATCAGTAAGCCTGGTCTTCTTTTATGATTTTGAGTTTTGTTCTACCTTTTTCTCCCACTCTATCTAGGATCTTCAATTGTGATCCCTTTTCCAGAGGTGAGCAGTGGTAGCTGGGCACCATCTAGTTCTTCTGGCCTCAGCGTCGTGTAGGCTGAGGTTCCCATGGTCCACTAGTCCCTTAGACTAACTGTTTCCATGTGTCTCTGATTTTCTTCACTCTTCTTTGCTCTGGATGAGGAGAGATCAATTGTTGCATCATTGCATGGCTGCTGGAAAATTTTTAAGACCCCAGTTGGGATTCAGAAAAAGTAGAATGTAGAATAATAATGTTTTCTTTTTTAAATTTTTTTCAACCAATCTAGGAATTTTCCCTCCCCTCCCCTTAGAACAATGTTTTTGTGTGGTATGTTATGCCAGTTGAGCTTGATATACCCCATGACCATGGTCTTGAGCCCACAGGCCCAGCGAGTCACTCCCTTAGAAGTTATATCATAACTTTGCTCCCTGTTAGCTCAGTTATACATATGGACATTTTTACAGCTCATACAAATATGTATGTAGAAATATCATCTGCCAAATGATATATATGATCATGAATGAGTATATTCACTGTCACCTACCCATACCTAATCATCTTGCCTGTCTATCTATGTGTCAACATTAGATATCAACCAACAACATAGATTGTTGTTGTTGTTATGTGCCATCGAGTCAGACCTGACTCATAGCGACCCCTCCTTGGGTTTCCGAGGCAGTATCACTACAGAAATAGATTGCCCCATCTTCCTTCCAAGGAATGGTTGGTGGATTTGAACCACCAGCCTTCTGGTTAGCAGTCAAGTGCCTTAACCACTATGCTATCAGAGCTCCCACCCATAGATTAGTGTTTGTTATTACTGATAAAGCAGTATTGTATATGTAAAACTACCTTTGTTGTCCAAACCTCTTGGGCACCCCTCTGTGTCTTCTTTTTCTTCAGTGTTATTGTGCTGGTCACCTAGTTTTGGTATATTGCCTTTTCCTTCACCCAAATCAATACGCGTATCTTACCTACATAACAATTTTGTTTCCTCTCCCCTCCCATCCCTGGTAACCAACTACGGTGTAGTAAATTACTTTGTATGGCTTTTCTACCCATAAGTCATTGTAAACTCAGTGGTGGAATGAGCAACTGAGGAGCTCCTGATTGCTGAAACTATCCACCTGGGTTATTTCTGTTGGGAGTGGCACAATACAATGTTCTGGGAAGTTCCCACTCTCTCTCACGTGCTTAGAGTTCTGATGCTGTGATTGGCTAGTTTGACCACCCTTCTGGGCTCAAAAGGAG